ACTATACTTGTTTGTACTATAAGAACATTTTATAAACAAGCATGTATTCTCTTAGTAAATGGAAGAAACAAAGATATGCACAAAAGGAAAGAGGTAATTTGAAGAAGAGTGGGTCAGTCACCACCACGTAGAAATGAGAGTCACAAATAATAACAGTAATAATAACACTTACTGAGAGTTCCCTAAATACCAGGTCCTCTGCTAACCGTCTTACATTTGACATTGAATCCTCACAATGACCATCAAGTAGATACATACTGTGATTCTCAATTTAGAGAGAAGAAACAGTGGACTTGGGAAATTAAGTCCCTTTGCCCAAGGTCACAATCAGTGGGGTCCAAACCCAGTGTTTTTGATTCTGCTGGCAAATGTGTTCATCACCCTGTTAGGCAGTCTTCTCAAGAGGCCAACAGAGCCAGTGCCCACCTTAAGCACTGCCCAGAAAAACTACCCAGACTCAAAGGAACTGGAGGCAGTCCATTACGAAGGTATGTAAGGTTTTCAGGGCAACCTCCATTCTCTCATTTCTTGCTCACCAAGTTGCTCTGGCTCCCAAGTGGCCTGCCTACAGGAAGATCATGGCACACATACTCGGGGCCCTTGGTGGGTCCACAGCTGCGCGTTAATTACTGAACCTGCACCCTGGTTATATATCCTTCCCAGTGAGCTGGGGTGACACAGGTCTCCCTCCCTGAGACATTCGGCTTTTCAGTCTGACCACTTCCCTCTAGAACAGGGGTGGGCAAACTTTTTGACTCGAGGGCCACAATGGGTTCTTAAACTGGACCGAAGGGCCGGAACAAAAGCATGGATGGAGTGTTTGTGTGAACTAATATAAATTCAAAGTAAACATCATTACATAAAAGGGTACGGTCTTTTTTTTTTTTAGTTTTATTCATTTCAAACGGGCCGTAGTTTGCCCACGGCTGCTCTAGAATGTGCCGATTCCCATGGGAGACGCTGTGCCCAGATGACACCCCCCATCAAACCTCTATAACTTACAGTTTCAATACTGGAGGGAAGCTGTCCTAATTCCCCTTAAATTCTATAAAGCCTTTCACAGCTTCTCTGGAAAGTGTTGTGAAACTCAGAATGATATGCAGAGAATTTCAACAGCTCTGAGAGGCTGTTGCTATAATAAACAGCAATATTTTCCTATGAGGATAACTGTTCCCCCCTTTTTAAAAGTCACTTTCCATAGTTCAAATACGGTGAATTTAGAAAACAGTTAACAACCCTAAGTCAACTAAGTTGAATATATTAATCATTGTTATTAGGTTCTTAATGTATTGTAAAATACCTCAGACAAAAAAAAAAAAAAGACCAAAAAGCAAACATCATATACCCACACATCCAGTTAAGAAATAAAATACCACCGATATAGTTGAAGCCCCTGGATACACCGTTATAATAGTATTATTGTGGAGCCCTTGTAAGTGTCATAATAGTGAAATGGTACACAATTAGACAAGAAAAGGAAAGACTTTTCCTCCCCCAATTTAAATGTGGGCAGTAGTGAAGTTTATCAGCCAAATCTATATACTATGATGATTCTGAGTTTGCTTGACGGGAGATTAGTGCGAGACAACAACATACCAATATCACTTGGTATGAATCTTATAAATGATGTATGGACACAAACTCAGAACAGGTGTTGCTGAATCAGGTTATTTCTGAGCAGTCATTCAGTATGATTAGGCCTGGGGCTTGAGCCATCTGTTTACATGCTACAGCGCAAAGCTTCTGAAACTTTGTAAGGAAAAAAATTGCCTTATAAACTAAGTTCCTGACCATGACTGCCATGAAATGTTGGGAATGGTGGGACGGCCTGTGCAGGGGCAAGACATTTTCTAGGGAATCACCTCTGTACCCTCTCAAAGCATTCTACACCCTTCTGTTAAAAAAAAAAAAAAACATTAAATTCCCACAGCTGTATGAAGTTGCTTGTTCCTGAGTCTGATCACCTTAAACAAGGGAAGCAAGCTCCCTGCACTTCTTGGCTAACAGAATGAAGGCAAGGCCTGTGGGTTCAGTTCAACCTGTGTTTACTGAGTACATTCCATGCCTGGTACTCTGGGCACAAAAATAAATTAACCAGTTTCTCAAGACGTTGACTCTGTGGTGTTGTAGGCAGATCTGGTGCATGAGGAAGAATTACAGAAAAAAGAAACCAACATAGGGAGGAAAAAAGGAAAAATGGGCGAAGGAAGCAAAAACGATGGAATAAATGCAAGTAAACAGGAGCGGTCGCTGAGGCCAACCCTTCTGGTTTACTCTCTCCTCCTAGGACTGCTCCATCTCCACTTCCCTCCAAGGATCCCCTCCTCTATTCAACCCTGCGGGTCTGCTTCATCTTGTTCCCTCCGGACAGCCTCCCAACTATCTATCTCTCTCCCTTCCTCTCTGTAAAAAATCAATAAAATATATTAAAAAAATATATATATATATTATTAAAACACGATATACACAAAAATAGTTGTCCTGTGCAGGTTTCACAGAACGTTGTAACTTGTTTTGTCAACTTTCTGGCAATATCTCGTCCAAATTGTGCTGCATTATCTTCGAACTTTAGACACTTCCAGTTTTTAGTTGCTGTTTGTGATGAGATATTTGAGGTATATTTACAGTACTGCTACTTGGAATTTCTTTATCCCAACAATTTGTTAGATGGACAGCTAATTTATTCTGAAATTCTGTGATACTCATATTCTTCTTGCTAATATTTTTAAATAAAATATGAGCATTGAGAACAGCAGTATTTAGTAGGAGCTTAAAGGCTAGCTTTTTATACCATTTCATGGGTTTTCGTAACATATTATTATAGGCACTCATTTGATCAGATATATCAACTGCTGCTTTT